CAACGAGGTGCTTGAGAACATTTTCCGCCAAATGCCGTAATTATCATAATTTGAAGATATGTGGTAAATCTCTGAAATGATTTTGACAATTAAAAGAGATAAGAAAATATCAATGTTTGTCGTCCTCAGATTAACTCATCTATTTTCCCTCCATTTTTGGTAGCGACGTGCCATGCAGTTAACAACTGTACCGACGAGCAGCATGGATCCTGTGTGAAAACAAACGTATGTGCGTGCGTCCCGGGATATATAGGTAATTGCAATGCAATATCCTCATATATATACATTTTAGAGTCCAAAATGATTTGTTGGCATTACAAGAAAGCACCGTCATTTATGAGCCGAAAAAATGATTAGAATGATATTGCATGCATTGTATATGATGCTTGACAGTCGTTATGAAATGATATTTCCAGGTGCGGACTGCAGCGAGGTTCCCACCTGTTACAAGACGGATAACTGTACCTCCCGTGGCGTCTGTGTGGATCACGACACGTGTCTGTGTGAGGAGGACTATACAGGCGACAAATGTGACAAGTTCTCCTGCAAGAACCTCGACAACTGCACAGGTAACAAACAAAACTAGCACGCACTTTGATGGGAGCAATTTGTCATAGAGCAAAACAGTAAGAGAAATTTGCTATGGCCGTATGCTACTAGAATAATTCAATTCCATGAAATGCTGATGTAAAATGTGCTAATGACTTACTATACAAATGTCCTAACCGTGGGCATGTACCCGAAGTACATGTAGTAGGGAGTAGGGCCTTTACGTACCGTCTGATGCAGGTGAAGTCTCCTGATGCAAAGTTAAGTAACTGATCAATAGACCCTAGTTAGGTTGCTTTATTGTCGTTATACAGGACATGGGCTCTGTGTGGACATTGACGTGTGCGCCTGTGACTGGGGCTGGGCCGGGAGCTCGTGCGCCTTGCCTGACTGCCCGTTGGTTAACCACTGCTCCCGTCGGGGAGACTGCGTCGCGCCCAACCTGTGCCGCTGTTACCCGGGGTATGACGGGAAGAACTGCAGCCTCGTACATACCTGTCCTGAGCTGAACAACTGTAGCGGGAACGGGATTTGTGTGACGAACGAGTCGTCTGGAAGTCATGTGTGCAGGTACCTGTCTCTATTAGAGCTTCTTACCCAATCTTCTTACCCAATCTTAGTTTAGGGAGGAGGTGTAATGGTGATGGTAAAATGAACAAGAAATACATTGTATAAGTTTGTATTAAAATTGACTGCTGTACAATATGAGAAAGAAGGATAAAGTGAAAAATTTGACCGTTTTTTTGCCCTCAAACACAGGTGCTTCAAGGGTTATGACGAAGATGATTGCAGCAGACCTGACTGCTCCGGCCGGAACGACTGTTCAGGTCACGGCGTGTGTGTGGAGCCTCTGCTGTGTGAGTGTGACCAGGGGTACGGCGGCGTCAACTGTAGCGACTTCTCCTGCCAGAAAAACAACTACTGCTCAGGTAAGAATATCTTCTTGGTTGGGGACGTCGACTTTGGACTACACACTTTTCTGGTATTTTTCCAGTGATGGCAATGAGTAATATTGGTCTTGGTGATATTGGCCCGCTTCGTCTCAATTGATAAGGTTACATTTCATTGCTGTATTGAAACGTATGTGTCATCTATGTTCAGTTTCGAGATCCTTCGATTCATGATAAACATATTATGTACTGTGATTTACTTGTGTTTCCTATGGCACAGAGAGTGTGATATTGGTCTTGCCAGTTGTCTTCTAAAGCCTCAAAATCGGTTGTACGAGTTTCAGTGCCGTATTGAAACGTGACTTTATGTAACATTTATGTGCAGTTTGGAGATCTTGGAACGTGATGTGGTCTACTTAATGTTTCAGGGCACGGAGAGTGCACTGACTATGACGCCTGCACCTGTCACACGTCATGGTCGGGAGAGGCGTGTACCATCCCAGACTGCACTGCGGTGAGCAACTGTTCCAGTCGGGGAACGTGTCTCGCACCCGACACCTGCGCCTGCTACCCTGGGTACGAGGGAGACGGATGTGAGACGGAAAGCCCGCCAAATATCCACCGTCCCAACTTTACCCAAGACATCTACAGGATCCAAGTCGTGGAGAATACTCCCGTTGGAACGGTAGTGGCAACAGTGCGAGCAGCTGACAACGACACCGGCATAAACGGCGAGGTGAAGTACAGGGCGGTTGAGCTCACCAACACTACAGCACTGACCTTGGTCCCCGGGACAGCAGACATTGCCACAACCATGGAGCTAGACTTTGAAGCCATCGGAGACAGAGAGTTCGAGTTGATCGTTGAAGCCATAGACGGGGGCGCGCCGACACTAACCGGAACGGCTACGGTTGTCATGACGGTTACAGACGACAATGACAACATCCCAGCGCTGAGCATAGCTGAAGAGTCCGAAGTACATGTTGTGTTGAGCGCTCCTATTGGCCACGAAGTCATCACCATCAACGCAAGCGACCATGACGCGTCTGCATCGTTCTCTAACGTGACATTTAGTCTTGCGTCAGCGAATGATTTCTTCGTCATTGACGAAAGGAAAGGACGCATACAGGTACAACGTGCCTTGGAGATAGGCACGTATCCACTAGAGGTTGTGGCGAGTGATGGCGGATACCCAGCTAAATCGCGAAGAGCGACAGTTCGAGCCGTTGTTACACAGATAAGCGCCAACACTCCTCCTGTCTGCCTGTCACAAGACGGCCCCGCACATCTCTATGCAGGCTTCAGCAAACCCGGCGACGTCATTACGACTGTGTCAGCACTGGACCGCGACACTGGAACAGCTGGCCATCTCCAGTACAGCATCAGTGATAGGAAGGGTAACCTGTCAAGTGAGTTTCAGGTGAATCCTAGCACAGGTGACATCTACTTGACAACCTCACTGAACGATTCTCCCATCAACATGTCCTTCGTGTCACTGACCGTGCGAGCTGCGGACCTTGGCTCACCGCCATTGGACTGCGACCTCCGGGTGAACGTTGTCATCACGAACGATCCATCGCCTCCAGTCAACGTCACGTTCCCGCCGGAATGGTTCCCCACAGAGACGACAATCGTTCCCCACACAGGCAGTCTGCTTACAACAACCCTCCAAGGTCTGAATACATCCGTCCAAGGTCTTAATGAAACAGCCCATGACCAGATCGGCACTACCGTTGAGACAAATGGAGAAGTAACTGCACCTACCACAATCGGTAAGCTTATTTATACATAATTATGTCACACGACTTTACTTCATAATTGACAAGAGTACTCATGCCTTTGTAAGCCTACTTAGTGTTATTTGTGCTTTTAAGATTTTCTTGTATGTATCATAGACAACCTGTTTGTTACAGACACCAATGATTGAATTCTGAGTTAATTTACGCATACTGTTTCTTCGTGTGCTGATTGTCTAAACGCCTTTTTCGTCAACAGGAGCTTTATGTCCCACAGTTGCGACATTGTATTTTGTCATGTTCTATAAATAACCAAGCGAATCTACGTTTGTAGGAGCAATACCAGCCCAGCTGAGCTGGTACCAGCGGCCGGAGTACATCGGCGCCATAGCGGGAGGTGTCGCGGGTGTGGCACTTCTGACGGCTGTTCTCGTCTACGTCATCAAGCGTAGGAAGACTAAAGTCGTACCGGAGGAGGAAGAAGAACCCCGGGCGGAAACACCAGATCTTGAGGAACGCCGGAATCCGCCCCAAGCTTGGGTTTACAGGAACCGTGTTTTCCGGTCTTATCCTGCCGAGCCAGTCTTGACATGATCAAGTGTTTGTTAGTGTCAAGTGTGATAATTAGAAGTCAAGGTTTTTTTTGCTTCATCAGTTTTGCCTTTGCTTGAAGTGTGTGTTCAGTGAAACGTATTTTATTACAATTATTATAATCAAATTGAATTTTATTACACTTTATCCTCTTCGTATCAATTCCTTTATATCATATGCGTGATCATTCGGTATACTTCATATGTGGATTTTTAGTGAAAAAGGACCTCAATACTAGTATTAGTTTATCTAAAAGGTAAATTAATGCAGATAAAATGTAATCATTAACAGTTACAATTTGTTAAAGTGTGTGGATCATTCTAAATATTACGTTATATGTTAAACGTCACATTACTAGCAAAGCTAAATGTAACTGAATGCAGATAGAAGTATAAGCATTGATAGTTACAATTTGTTTAAGTGTGTGGATCATTCAAATATAACATATTACATTCTATTCCTCATTATTAGCAAAGCGGATGAATCATAGTAATGTGAAATGCGAAAGATCGGTTATTTTCTGTATTTGTGTTAAGATAATATAACATTGATTATATTCTTGAATTGCTTTTATATTATGTTGGTGTGGAAGTGTGCAGCAATAAAAAAGTCTACCGACGATTTCTTGTTCGCCTTCTATCTCTGATATGAAAGTGTGCGGAGAACAGCACAAGAGACACATGTGTTAGCTAGTATGTAGCTTGAAGGTAGCACCAAGGATTAATCTATATATTTGTATGGGCCTTGTATGTGGATGGATACTAACCAGTACCAAGCGCAGATTGTCTGTTTGCATGTGGAAGAGCGATCAGCACCAAGGACGGGTACCGTGTTAGAGGGTATAACGTACAGTAACGTGTCCTGTAAGTGGAGCTAAGCGCGACCGATGTGTGTATGTAACGTAAGGTTAAATTTAGCATCAAAAACAGAGAAGAGGTAGGTAACGCTACATGACTATGTGAAGTGAGAGTTGTGGGGCAAACTTTCAAACATAAACTGTGAACTGAGTTCTTACGGCGACTTTCTGATGCTGACGAATATCGCACACCCACCCACATGCAGACAATAATTTGCTGAGATACGTATCATGCGTATACAGCAATGTTATGAACATACTTGAAAACCGTAGATGTGCCTATCCCTGAACCTTTTGCGGAGTAATACGACCCGGTGGTGACACTGTTTCAGGGACAGGTAAATATTGTCCCAGGACAAATGTAGTGGGTCCGCAGGGGAGGCACAAAGTCTTCATCACAAATATGGCGTCTTCCGGAGATCCCGAATTCGTGAAGAAGGCTAAAAACCACCAGTTTGAAGGTTTCACCAAAGGTACGCCTGGAGCTGTACTGTTACACGTCTTGTGAAAAGATTGTTTACCGTTAGATATCTCCTTTTAATATTATACTCATCCGAAACGGCAATAATACGCCCCTCTATCTGATATGGGGAGGGAGGGGGGGGCGGATTTGGATCAAGTCGCGCACGTATAATAATTTGATCGATAACGACAACGTATGTGCAATATCTTGGAACGCTATCTACCAAGCAGTTACCTCAACTGGTGCGTGCCTGTAATATACTTCGGTAGCTACGTCGATAATTAAGATTCTTAGTTTAGATATCAAAGCTTGGATATAACATGCAAGGCGGACAGAAAAGGTTCGTTGTAATGTAAAGGCTGATAACGTAAGAAAGATATGACATCAGATGATACCATACAATAACATAACTGTGTGTGACGTTCGTTTTGCTGACATTTTGATATGTGGAGACATTTTTATAGTAGGTTGTTTATAGCACTGCAGAATTTATTTGTAGCTGATATTTTTTTGTTGTAGGCTGAAAATATATGTAATATTCAACTTGATATAACATTATAAGGTGGGCTTGATTTGATTAATACATATAACATTACATGGCAATCTGTTTATGTAGAGCATTAATCGGTCAAACATAAGCTGTCTGTTGTAAGTACGTTCTTCACTTGATCATATGCACTTGTTGCTACACAATAGCAACAGTTTGAACACCTGTTTATCTGGATATGAGTTTTACATTGTCCTGAGAGGTCATAAGGCCTATAGAATGCCACAATCAACATATTCAATATTCCAGACATTTGGGGACCATAAATGGCACAGCCTGAGATAAGATTACAATTATGTTTATTCCTGGTGTTTTTCCTCCCCCCAGAGTTGGAGGGAGAGTGGCAGGGCCCGTTTGTGTTCATCCAGGCAGCTGACACTCAGTATGGCATGATCAATGACTGGGAGGGGAGGGGTGATGGGAATGAGTGGGAGGAGGAGATGTCCCTCACCAAGAAGGCCATCCAGGCAGCCAACACCATGGAGCCACGCCCTAAGTTCTTCATAGTGTGCGGGGATCTCGTGCATGCCTGGCCAGGTAAAGGAAATAAGATAGAACTGCATGCATGCATATAACATTACAGGACTGGTATATGGATTATGTAAGGCAGTGCCTGCATTGCACAAAAAGGCACGAAAGGTTTGAAAGGTTATCATAACTGGAAAAAAAAAAGTTTGAAAGTAATTTGAACACTTTTGTTTTAGTATTGCAACTAGTCTGTGTGACGTTAAAACTGTATCAAGACTTATTAATTAGCATACTTCATGTGACGTTAGATAAGTTTTCTTGATTAAATTTTCATTGAGAAATTTCATACGTTTTTCTTAATAAAATTGCAGTAAATCATATTTTGCGGCAATTCCATAGGTGGAAAATATCGCGAGGAACAAGAGCGGGACCTAAAGGCAACCTTCACAGACCTGAGATCAGACATCCCGCTGGTGTGTGTGTGTGGGAACCACGACGTGGGGAACAGTCCCACACAGGAGTCCATCCTCAAGTACCGCGACAGCTGGGGCGACGACTACTTCAGCTTCTGGGTGGGTGGGGTCAAGTTTCTCGTCATCAACTCCTCCTACTTCCCGTCTAACTACTCGGACCCCTCCGTGGTCGGGGAACTGAAAAAGGAGCACGACGATTGGTTGGATACAGAGTTGGAGGAGGCCAAGAGTTCCGACTGTCAGCATCTGGTGATCTTCCAGCACATTCCCTGGTTTCTGAAGTCTGTGGACGAGGACAACGAGTACTTCAACATCGATCGGGATGTTCGGAAGACAATGTTGGCAAAGTTTAAGGAAGCAGGTAAGTGTGTAAATACCAGTGGAAACATATCTTCCACTGGTCATGACCGAGAAGGCTGACACTATATATGTACAGTACTTACAGGTTCATTGTACCAGGGAAATTCCCCTAACTCTTTTTGACAAGCACAATGAAGAGTGGACGTCCTATCCTAAGGACGGCGACCCTTTGGGACAACATCTGGGATTCAAACTCCTAACCTCTCAATCCAGAGGCAGGGTTGCTGACCACTGTTCATGTCTATGAAACTTGTATTTCAAATATGATGTTCTCTGTTTTCCAGGTGTTAGAACCATCTTCTGTGGGCACTATCATCGCAACGCAGGAGCGTTCTATGATAACATGGAACATGTCATCACGTCTGCCGTTGGCTGCCAGCTGGGGAAGGACAAGTCCGGGCTACGGGTGGTAAAAGTGACGGAGGACGCCGTGGCGCATCAGTACTACGACATGGACAGCATTCCGCAGAAGGTCGACTTCTGAAAGGTACTGTAATTCCTGATTTGTTCACTGTACTGATAAGTTCACTGTTTTCACTGTTGCTTCTGTACAGTGAACTTATCATTACAGTTAACAAATAATTCCTGGACTTTCTTTTTTCTGCACCTGTCACCACCGTGAACATATAGTTCCGTGAACATGTCCATTTTTCTCAGACCGTGAAATTTTGCTACCGTGAACATAAAGTGAATTACAGTACTCTAGTACACACCTGCAAAAGTACACATTGTGCAAATATGTCAGATGTATGGTGACAGGAGGTACATGTAATGAAGGCTATTGTGATGTGGAAACATTAAATCACTGAAAGTTGCACTGACAAGAAATGAAGAGTTGAGCCCAGATGTAGAAGAAATAAGAAAGTTATGTTTAAGTGGCTGTCAGGTGAAGGAATGCCTTTCTTGATATCGTGAGACTTGTGGTGTTATCAATGTGGCTTCTCTGTGATACATTGTCACTAGTACTATATAGTTATGTTGTCTGGTGGGTGCTTTAAAATGGTAAGTCTTTGAAACCCATTCAATCATCAGAGCAAATGTACATGTGTCTTGCCATGTCTTCATTGGAAAGTAGTCAGATGAACTTAAAAACACCTCATATTTTATTTATAATGGTGATATCGTAAAAAAACTTCTCAAACCACTTGAACACAAGAGAAAAGTTACTCTGTTACCTGAGGGCCACTTGACTCATTCATGCTTAATATGGATAAAAGTTCCATGTATAAAGGTGTCTACATTGTGTAAGCCCAGTGCATTGTTTGAACTGTTTTGGTTTCTCTGCTTTTGGAGGTGCCATTTTCCATATTGAGCTTGAATGACACTCAACAGGGTATTAAAGAACAGTGGTCAATTGTCCAATTGCAAACTGTACATGGAACAGTTGACAGTATATTTCTATGGGAATCCATGAAATGTTGTCTAATATCATATTTACATATCACGGATGCAGAGATGTGTGGTAATGCAACTACTACATGTAGTGTTCTGGCTATCGGTAATTGATGAATATAAGGCCACTTGAACAAATAATGTTTGTCATGTGCTTTGAAGTCAATTAACTCAGTAACTGTTGATATGTACCAGTATTTAGTGTACAAGTACGTACATGCTCTTGAGTTTATGAACAAAACAGTATATGTAAAGATGTAGAGAACAGAAAAAGTATCTTTATGTTTTACAATGATATATGATGTATAATTATATTATTTTCAAATTTTGATGTGCGAACATATTATTCCAAGATGGCTGGTTTATTGTGTATTTTCTGAAATGCCAGAGATGTGTTCAATTTTTATGTTAAAATTATTTTGATTATGGCACGTAATATGAAGATGTGTTTTAACAAAAGATAATAATTATATTTTCTGACAAACATATCAATAACTACTGTAGGTTATTCAAATTATCACTGCATTAAGTAACTCTTCTCAGATGTCATCTGTAGCATACATGCGATTGCCATGACGTCACAGCCAGCAAGTGGTAGGCAAAAAGTGGGTGACGGTTGGCTGATTTGCCTACCAATAATTTGCATGTTAACAAAAACTGCAATTGCTCATATTGGTCTGAAGAGGAACTGGCTTGTAGACTCTTGCGGCAACCTTATTTTGCAATTACATGTACCTACTGACTTATACAGGCTTCTGTCACTTGCATTATGGCAGGTTTAACAAATTACATATTTCTGTTAAACTTGCCAGCATGCCAATGCTTTTAAATAACTCACTTTCCCACCAAATAATTAGTGGATATTCAAAGTAATGAAAGGTATGGGACCAGGCCTGATATTTGATATGTCAGAGCTGATTATATTGACCCTACCCTTGGTATATGCAAATTACTTAGAACATTTACAGTAACTTCTATTGTATTGGCTATCCCTGCTATAGCTGACTTATGTTCTGTGATTGACAGTTGGTTCATGTCTGGCCCACTGCAGGGACCTACAATATTTCTCTGTTATGATATATGTTATGCCAAATGCAGTTATACTGGCTATAAAGACACAGATATGCACACAATTGTGTTCACAATTTTATGCCGATGTATTGCTCAATGTAGCTCAATTGTCAACAATTGTAGAGTAAAATGTTACTGTCTGTACTGGTTTGGTTTTGTAGGTTTAGGTGATGTCAAGAATAAGAGCTCGAACCTTTTCCAAGATTGTTGTCACTCCCATGTACAACTGATGTTGTGTTTGCCAACACAGTTCCAACTCCGGTATGATGATGTACATGGGCATTACTGTATAGCTGTAAACACTTCATCAGGACATGTTGTTATGGATGTAATGATGAGTACAATGTGTTTGGATACATGTGTGAAAAAATTCAAAGCTTTGTCTACATACCTTGATATGTAGTGCAAATTTCTCCATGTTTATAGAGTCCACTGTTACTTGATGTTAATATAAGTAATAATTGGTAAATGTCTATAGCAAATATATAAAAGTACTAGTAAACAACAAATGATAATTATTAGTTGAAGTAGAAAAAGACAAGCACAGAAAAATAAGACACAAGTTTGGATAATTTTCCAAACGGAGTACCACCTTCAGTTTGACATATTTCTGTTTGTTTGTTTGTTTGTTTGTTACACTTCTCAAAACTCAGGTAAAGGTTCAGGTCAAAGGTCAGGAGTTAATTAGTTTTTGCAGCTACAAAATACCTCTACAGTACAGGAGTACGTTTACATTGAACATACTGAACGAACAAAGTTTTAAATGTAAGTATGGCACATAGTATCAGTTCGGCTAAATGTGTGCGCTTTCTTTTATGTTTGTGTTAAATTCCATTGTGCATGTCGAATGCACATTGTTTTCATTTAATTCATATACATGATCGTTCCTAGAACCTTCAATGGAAAACTAATATTATGTTAATTGTGATTATGTCATTTACACAGACTTTGTGACTAAATATATGCAAGACAAATTCCATTCTTCATAGCCAAGTGAGTAAGGTGGACAATGGAAAACTGTAAAATGAAAATTGAAAGATTTTATTTATGCAAATTTGTTACCTACAGTATAGGAAGACCAACTGTTACAACACTGTGTGTAACAATGTCCACAATGGACACTGCACTGGCAAGTTACATGACGAATACATGCAAGTTTGGTATAATGTTATGTCAACTTTGTCAGTATTATAATATGCAACCATTCATGTTACAGTAAGGCAAGCAATGGTCAGCCATGTAAGGATCATTGTAATCAAGTAAGGAATTGCAACATTTTGTTTTGGTAAGAACCCGGCAAATATTACCATCAAATCAGGAAAAGTCAATGCTCTACATCTTACCTAGATATACATGAAAAAATATTGCTGTTTAAATGTGCCACAAACTATTATATAATATACTTGTCAGTTGACTAAGCTAATGTTGTGGTTGGCATCGATAAATAGCAAATTGTATTTGTTCCTGTGATACAACTCTACATGTAAATGTGCAAGCAGCATGTCCTGAGCATTGTTGCATTTCCTATGGCAATTATTATTACTGAACAAATGTAATAACCCTATTCTCCCATTTTTGTTGGGTCTGTTTGAGATGCAGGTTATTTAACTGTGGTTCATCATCATCATCATCGGTCGACCATATTGGTCGGGGTTATATTTTACAACAAATAGCATAAACAAACTGGCAGTCCAGTATGCTATTAAATTAACGCTTTTTCATTATCGTTTATAAACGAAAGTTTATCATCAGTCGGAATATTGGGGAGCATTGAAATTATCTAGCTAAATACATTATTCATTATACATATGAAATCATTGTATTCTCGACCAAAAGGAAGTCTTTTCCCACAATTTTCTACATTTGTCACGTCATTGGGTCCTTTTTTTCCACAACTTCATCTTTCTTGTTTCTTTGCAATTATGTGGCTTTTGTATAACTTTGTTGAGCTGTGCTCATTTGTTACCCTAAGGCTTACAAAGGACATTATACATCTAATGTTCTTGCCCTTACCAAGTTTCTTATACAATGTGACATCAATTTAGAGATGTCATGAAACACTGAAGCCTTCCAAAAATTAGTAATTCCAGAGTAAAAGAAAAACTTTAAGAACCTAAATCTTGGCTAAAACCTACATGTAAAACTCTTTGGTGCTTTACATTGTACCTTGAGAAGACCAAAGTGTCCGACTTGTTGTCAGCAAGCACACTGGTACACCGGCCAGTGCCTGCACTTTCAAACAAAAACTTGTACAATCACGACAACAATTAACTAGGTACAGATGCTAGAATTCTATCTATCATTAGAAGTGCAACATTGAATCAAAGACACAATTTTAGAAGTATCTTTTGGTACGTCTACCAATCTTTACATATTGGTATTTTGCTATACTAAGTTCACTCAACTCATACATGTACATGTATATGTATATGTACAAGCAGCATGTCCTGAGTCATTTTTGCATTTCATATGGCAATGATTATTACTGAACAAATGTAGTAGTCCCATTTTTGTTGGCTTCGAGCTGCAGTATTATATTATATTATAGTACGTAAGTATAACATTCCTAACAAAGGTAAATGATTTGGGCATTATTATCAATTTTTCTTAAACAAAGTCTCCTTATAGTTCCCCCTTCTATTGCTGTAAATGTTTACTTATTGTAACAATACAATATTGGCAATGCATATTGGATGAATGATTGAATTATAGTCAAAAGTAAATGACAGCCACAGGCTGAATTTCATATGACTGAATTATGACATCTGGATGTCACTGAGTAGAATCTGTCAGCAAGCCCTGAATAACAGGTGCCATCAAGGCAGCTGGCAGGAAAAGACAACCTGTGTTCCTAAAGTACTGTGATTCATGATTTTTCATGGTACTTTTATGCTCAAGGTTTTCAGTACCGCAAACTTATCATTACAAACAATATTTTGCTGACAAATATTTTTCTGACTTGCTTTCTTTCTGCTGCCACCATGAACATATAGTTCTGCAAATATTTCCTTTTTTCTCTGACAGCGAACTTTTGCTACCACAAACATTTTTAAGTGAATTACAGTATGGTAAAACTGACAGACGGATATGATACATGTACATGCATTACTAAGTTATAATTGGTTTTCCAGGACTTAACAATCTGAACACAGACAAAGCCTGAGTAAATCACAGCCCCATGTAGGATTGATGGCGTTGTTGTTGTTGTTGTTGTTGTTGTGTTGGTGCTTCTTGTTTGCTCTTCCTACGACCAAATGGACCTGACCGGGATGGCTTTGTAGTTATAGGTGGGTACGGGTCACTGTGGGTGGACAAGTGGACAATAAATAAGAAGCATGACAATATATATAATTTGAAACAAATAAATGTACACTCTCTTTTCAGACTGAAGTCACAAGTGGCTATTCATTCACATGTAATTAGATTTGTCCTATCAAAGTTTGATGTCCCAATGCAGCACAGTTTGCCATATCTCACTCACTTTTGACACCAAGCAATGTACATTTTGTAACAGCAGGGAATGGGAAAATACATGTTCATTAGTGTAAGTCTGACTCTGACTCTCAGGGATCGAACACACACAGCTCACAATCCAACACACAAACCACTGGGCCAAAAGGTCGGAGACCCTTGGGCTGGTCGGTTGGTGCTTACATGATGTGAACTTCAATGAAAAGCAGCTTGCAGGCCGATTTGAGCTACTCGTGAATAAAGAATGGTTCAAACAAACACATGTGTAACTCACCCGAAGAAGGGCAGCACAGTGACGAGTCTCTCCCTGCCTGCCCCGGCCACCAGACCCTGGGTGTTCTGTACCACCACGTTCATCAGGTGACGTAAGTAGTTCTGCAGTCTCTTACGACGGTCTTCCACAAACTTGGAGTCCTGTCAAATAGAGAAGGACATTCACATCAAGGACTGACACCATGTCTTATCAACACTATAGTTTGCACTGTCACATTGTTTTCAGCATACAATCATAATTATCTGATAATGTAGCAAAATGTTGCTGTCTGAGAAAAATGGAGGTGTTCATGGAACTATACGTTCACCGTGGTGGCAGGTGCAGAAAAAGAAAGTTGGTGAATTATTTGTTGCGGTAATGCTAAGTTTGACGGTACACGTAAATGTAACCACGAAAAACTGAACTCCCACAGACCTTATTTCCTATGGCCTTCTTCGGAGGGAAGCCCAGTGATGCCACTGAGGGAAACTTCTTCTTCATCTGAGAGTGGAGCTCATAGAACTGAGCATATCTCCTGTAGATGTTCCACTCTTCATCTCGTATTCTGATGTACACCTGCACAGAAAGTGGGTTGTTCAGTTAGTGCCCCCAGCAGTGCATAAAAGAAGTGCAGGTACAAAATGGCAAATCTTCGAAGCTTGTATGATATGCCAAGGGGTGGTTATATTGGCTTTACAAAATTAATACAGATACAGATTTTTCAGACAAATGATACACTTTACTGGCAATTGTGGCCTCTTCAGTGACTACAGGTATTTGAAACTGGTTTATGATTATTCATAACTTTTTACACTGTTATATTTGGTACTATATTTCCACTAGACTAAGTGATAATTGTGTTCGTAATTGTAAGTTTTTTTCTCAATCACCTGGTAAACATGGTGTGTGTCTGATGCCTTGCCACGTAGGAAGACTGAAGGGATCCAGATGTTAACCAGTGCTCTGGTCACCAGGCTCCTGTATAACAACACATACAATACATGTATCAGCCAGGGTGAGGTCAAAATTCTACAGAACAATTTTAGACAATTTTAACTACATTAAACATGTACATGTACATGTACATGCACATACAGCTCAATAGCTTAGTTATCTCCACAGTACAAGAGCCCAAATACTTCTAAGTTCTAAACTTTATCACATGAGCAACCAGAGTGCTAGATATATAGCATTGGGGTAGTTTTTGCATCCATTCAAAGTTGAGGCCATATAATGTTATAGAAATAATGGATCAGTGACTCACAGGTCTGCATCAGTCCCACTGGTTTCCTCTGTAACACTGTCTTCTGGTAGCTGTGGACAGAAAAAAAAAACTCTTTTCTATCACACTGTCCAGTATGCTGATAGAAATTTTATTCCAGAATACAAAGAATCAAGGTGTCCCCAACAACTTAACCTTTTCATTAGTTTGATGACTATATAATTTACACATGTAATATGTATAGTTGATAACCCAAACTCTGATACTATCGTTGACTTTACTCCCAGTAAACATTTCTAAGAGAATGACTCAAACTTACCGGTCCCCTGAGCTCCACCAGTTCCTCCTTCAGCCGCTGGATGAGGTTGTCCTTGGACAGCAGGTCCATGTGGAGGTGTTCATTGAACTGCATCAGTTCTCCATGCATCTCTGCCACCTACACAACATGCCCAGTTATAACACTGTTCTTACATAATACCAGATACCAATACACAATGTATATTGTGGCATACCCTTCCATATGTTATCGAAGATGCCAAAGACAAGAAAATGCATATTAATATTGCTGCTAAAAAGGAGCGTGAAAAATCATCAGGATAATGTTGACTCAGACTAAAGCTATGTACGTAGCAGGTTTTGATTATACTGTTGCAGGGGGTCCCTGACACAGATGGTGGGCAGCTAGTCTTCAAGTGACTCTGTCCAGCAGATCCACACCAGCAAGGCCACACTCTCTAATGTCCTTCAGACCTGACACACTACATCCAGGTCTTCTTTGGTCTACCCCAAACTCTGTTGCCTGTTTCACAATAAAGCTGTTAAATGATATCATACCTGAATGAGCTTCTCCTTGTACTGTGCAGCCTCCTCACTGTAGTCCACAGTTCCCTCAGGAGGAGGGGGAGGGGGGGCCGGCTGTTCATCCTCCTGTACCTTCACTAGGTCTGCCAGAACTGCAACATGCAGCACAGAGGTTAGTCATTTTTAAAGACTTTCCCAAAACGTTTTGACTTTGAATACAGCCAAAAACACCCAACCTACAGTTTCTTATACAATGATGTAGTACTTCATCAAAATAGTCAGGAAGACAATTTCTACTTACTCTCACTCCCCTGTGCCCCTTTCCTCTTCAACATCTGTACAGCCCCTACGTACTTCTTCAGCTGATGTTTCAGGACTTCATTCTCCCTAGAACAAAAAAGAGAAAAGTTAGCTTTCTTCTGAATCAGTACTATTCCAAAGAGACGCACTGTATGTACATATCAACTGCTCACTGACTACTAGTATATCAGTATCAATCAAACTTGATTAATAAGCCACATGCCATGAGACCTTCTGAATTGCTCTACAAACCTTGTTAGAGCCTGTATCTTGGCTGTGCTTCTCTCCTGTTGTAAACTGTGCTTCTTCTTTAGTTCCTCTGTCTCCACTCTTAACCTGGCTGAGTTTTCCATTTCTGCATCCAGCAAGCTTCTCATGGACCTTCATACAAACAATGGAAATCAAAACTCATCAGGTTTGAGTCAGCACATAGGAGAATAGACATCACAACAAAATTTATGGAGGTTAAAAAAAAATGACTTCTTGTTTTTTTACCTGTTTTGTTCCTCTACTTCATCTTTCCTCAACATCATGGCCACCACAGCTTGTTTCAACTCACCTGTTCAAGATAGAGAGAAGGGAAGACAAAATGAAAATCAACTTTATCTTACTGATTATGATAAAAAGATTATGATATTGCAAAAAAAATCTCTGCATAGCATTGATACAAATACAGGTATGTCAAAGGCTTATTTGATTCAAAGCTGAATGTACTTAAAGTTTCATGAATCCTTAATGGTGATAATTATATTAAGAAGTACTGATTTAGTAAATTTTTTGTGCCCATTCATGTTTTGACACATGGCTTTAAGTACACACAAAAGTGCCTTACTTGTTGACATGGTCTCATGTCTAGGTGAGGCTGGTAATGTAGCAACACTGCCATCTCCCTGTGTTCTCACTGAACTGTAACATGGAAACTTACAGTCAGTAACTAACATAGAAATCAATAGGACTCATCAGCAGTGCTCTATCCACCATCTGTCCTTCTGTTATTTGGCTGAATTTTGCTGCTCATGATGGGCAAACATCTTGCCCAATCTGTCATCTTTGAAGGACAAAAATTGCCATTTAAATATATGAAAAGAGATTTCCTTAAACTAGGCATTGTCTACCAGCAAAATTTGTCCCTGTAAATGCAAAAAAAATAGGATTTTAGAGGGTCAAGATTTTAAAATGTTCCTGGGGAACATGCCACAAAAAAAAAGATGACGGAAAAAATCAGACAGGCTAGAACACTCCTTATCAGGCATTAGGGCATTGTATATCAGAATGTAAAACAATCTAACATATCTAACATGCATAACATTTTTACTACAGGTAATCACATTTAGTATTACAAAAGTAATATGTACAAAAGTATCTGAAGAAGCATAAAGAAAGCAGATTCTAGGTGGACGGAAGAGATGGTGCAGATGTTGGACACACCTGGTGTGGATGTGTGAGGGCAGGTGTGCTGAAGATGGAAGTCTGAGAGAGGAGAGACACAGATTCAAGCACTTAAGCTACAAAAAAGGAAGGTAGGATGAAAGTAGAGCTACATATACATTGATACACATACATTGTTTCAGGACAGTCTTCACAATATGGTTCTGATTTATATAGGCCTTCTTTGTTACTCTGTCAGGACTACAGGAATATAGAAATAAAGAATTGACATTATAGATGCAGTCTAGATAGATCGGAAAAACATTTACCAAAGATATTGTGATCACTCTTTCCTTAACTGAATGTAAACAGCACCTCTAAATGATACTAACACAATTAATGAACAGTGAAAACACCATGGTATATACATGTGGTCACCTATGATAAACATCACACTAACCTGATGTCCAGGCCCTGTTGTGCCAGAGCAACTGCCATAGCTGCACTCTCCATGTCTGCTCCGTACTGAGGCAGGGAGTCTGACCGGGGAAATGACTCTGGTCTGGCGTGGGACTCTGACATCGTCTCTGGAAGTCAGTTTGCAGAGAATAATTATCAACACCCGTAGTCATACCATTCTTAAGTCACATGTAACAGAATCTGATACATTCTGTTATACATGTACTATGTAAATAAGGATGGACAACAATAATCCAATTATAGTCTGACAAACTGAGAACAGAGTCAGAAAAGTTGGTACATGTACCTGAAGATGTGGTGAAGTCGTCTTCTGCAGTCACAGGAAACAGATCAGCCGTCTCTCCCGTCCTTTCCTCTCCGTACAACATGAGATTCCCGGAGCCGTTATCAGACGACCTCCTGATGTCTTCCCCCATACTGTCCTCATCATACGACTGGGAGTCTGCCAGGTCCTTGGACCCCCCTGTACTGATGGACCACCTCGGAGCTGAGGGACTCCCTGACATCTCCTGGGAGGAAACTTCCTTCAGCTTCTTGCTGATGTAGTCTGTCTCGTCTTCCAGGGCATGCTGGTACTTCATCATGGACGAGTCGTACGGCGTGGGAGGCGGAGTCTTGACTGGGAAGGACGTGGAGAGGGTTTCCGGTGCGCTGGCGATCGTCCCTTCCTCCTCCCCTTGCTCCATCGACATGGCGTTCAGTCTCGCGTTCATGTAGTCCGAGCCTTCTAAGAGTTGACTTTGGTACGTCAACATGGCAGAGTCGTATGGAGTAGGGGGAGGAGTCTTTGTTGGGAAGGATGACGACAGATAAGACAGGTCAGGGCTGTCACTAGAGTAGCTCCTTGCTGGAACTTGATTATCAGGTACGATTGCTATAGGTGGGGATCCTGTTCCGAATTCAAGGCTTGGCTCTTTGACAGATCCAGAACCTTCATACGTTGGCTGTGACTTGGAAGCATAGAACGGGCTTGGTGGAGAGTCACTGTCAATAATGGTGGCCACTTTCTTTTTCTTCTTCTTCTTGTCCTTCTTTTTGTCTTTGTTGGAAGTCATGTCTGTAAGAAAAGGAGGTGCCATATATCAGTGCATTAGTTAGTACAAATGCATGTAATGACACACCAGCTTTGCAGGCATGTGGCATGGTGGCAGCTTGCTATATACATTTGTAACACTGAACGACTTGTTACACCTAACCTTTGAACATCTACATTGTAACTCTAAACATGCCTATATACAGATTGTGATACCGATATGTCTTAGTCAAGCATGTTCTGATGACAAACACCACTTATAGCAAGATAGCAAGACTGAAAGTACATGTACTACAGAAGACACTGACCTCCACTGGGCACATCTAATGCATACACAGGTTGTGGTTCCTGCCCAGGTTTCTGACTGCTAACACCGCTGGTGACATTCCCCACCATGGTAGCCAGGGGCTCCAGTAGGGAGGTGGCTGATGCCTGTTTTACTGTGTTCAGTTCTGCCTTGTCAATATTGATGGCAAACAGTATGGAACCCAGACCTAGGGAAAAACCAACAATGGTACAGTCACAGGTTTACACATGTACATGTAGAGAGGGCAACAACCTTTCTTATTTCAGCTTGCTGGAATTGTTTGGTTACATTTCAGATAAACATAATTCACATAAGGGAAAGATTAAGCAATTCAACCCATGCAAAAATCTGGCGGAAGTTTAGGTGGTATATTGTATCTAAGTACTGAAAGGCACCTATCTCCTAGTTGTTACAACTATCCAGGGGGGAAAAACAATATTGTAGTAGCAAGACAATTTATGATGTCACGAATTTGTGAAGAGGTCACCATGGAAACTATAAATATAAAACTGCCTACAAGTTTTTGCATCTAGATTATACAGACATGACTCTTCTGTCACACCAACAGAAGAGAGAATCTATAATCAGACAGATGTTAGTGTTGTTTACCTGCTGCCATGTTAGGAAGCATGCTGGACCTCTCATCATCTAGGACAAAGGCCCAGTCATCATAGTGTTGTCTGGAATCAACAGTATTGAACAATGTTAGACAGTTCCTCCAGTTCCCTATTCCTTAAAAAATGTATTTAGGATCATTACACAGTACAATGGAGACTAGATGTACAAATAAAAAGGTCACAAATATTAAAAGGCAATTCCATTTTTCAGTACTAGAGACAGTGAAAGCTTGCAGCATAATAATGTCAGACTTGAAATTAAGAAAGAAGCTTTCATCCTTCCTTTGCTGACATACAATGTACAATGTAAGTTCTCATACATTTGTATGTACGTAAGTGTTAGAAGTCTTTATACTTAGTTATAACGCACTTCGCACACTACAGAACTTCTGAAGTCAACTATTGCTCAGTCATCAGAAAGTCCCCAGTAAGAGTGAAGTCCATCTCCAGTACCTGAGTAGGTTAGTGTCTCCCAGTAAGGAGTGCAGGTATCTCTCCAGCGAGTGTTCATTCAGGGCAGACCTGAGCCACGCCCTGCCACGCCCTGCATCCGTGGTAACCTGCTGGAGCATCAGGTAGCGCTGCAACTCATGCTTGTTCAGATGTTCTCTCATGCACTGCCAGAACACTAGGGCGGGGAGAGTGGAGAATATTCTATCGTGAGTCAAATCTTCACTTACTTTTACAGACACAATTGAGAAAACTAAAGATGCAAAATACAGGACAAAACAATCAAATGGTGTTTTCACACTCACCTGGTTCTGTTTCACCTTTTATGTTGATACCTGTAACTTGTTGTGTTACTTGCCTGCTATGGAGATCACAAATTAACTACATTGCATGTAAACAATACAGTGAGAGAAGATATAATACTGTGGAAATAAAATCTGCATTCACTCAGAGACATATGCTAAATGATAACAACTTACTTGATTGCTGCCAGCCCCTTGGCTCTCTTCATCCCATGTTGAAGTACTGTTTCAAACTGGTTCAATAGACATACAACCCTGGGAAAAACAGAACAAAAACATCATGGTGTTAAACACAAATTCAAGGAAAAGTAGGTTAGGAGCAGTTCCAAATGAAAGTAGTGTACCTTATGTAATTACACATAATTACACTTAATTTGAAATCAGGGAGTTAACATGCCATGTAAATTTTGCAAAAGTATGTACAATTTGACATGGACCCAAAAATGAAATCTACAAGGAAATGCTTGTTGAAACCTTATGTCATGACATAACAACTTTATTGCACAACAACAGTACATGTACATGGGCCTGGGTACAATGTCATGATGGGTTGCACATGTCATGACATGTGCAGCATATTGCATTACAGGTATCCAGGTACGTGGTGTTACTCCATTATGGTTTTCCATTAGCCACTCATATACACAGCTCTGTGGTAAAAGCTAATGGAGGCAGCAGTGCACTTTTGAAAATTGTGATTGAGAATTGGTGATTGAGAATTGTGCAGTGTGGATGTCAAGTGGAAACAATGGGATGTAACACAGAGTGACTGAATTATATATGTACGCAATGTGTTATTTTGTACAGCAATAGTGGGTGCATTTGAATTAGGTAATGGGGAAGGGGAAGGAGGGCTTCAACCCACCTGCTGTCACTATCTGTGGCCAGCTCTGTCCTCCCACCAAACCTGATTTGACACTGCAAAACAAAAAGAGATTTTTCCTAAAACCTCACCACTACTCAGGAATATATAGCAAAGAAACGTTTGTAAATGTAACATCGCAAACGAATTAGTAGCCATCACACATGAAACATGGATTGTTTAATTTATTGTAGACAGCATGGAGGTAGACTCCATGTAGACAGTAAAAGACAGTGAAGGTAAAAACTGATCATTAATGACTACATTACCTGTTTGACTCCATCCAGAAGTCTGTCCAGTAGGTTTTGTCTCTCGGACTGATGAGGGTCGGCAGGTGCACCTGAATAACAACACATCAACATATCACAAATTATGCACTTATCATCATCTACTCATGCTATGTTTAAGCATACTGTTACTCCACTGAGTCTGAAAAGGTGCTAACTTAAAGACAAATAGAAATTTAAAGCACAGTCCATAGGCTTATCAGATTCAAGACTGCATAATGTTCCAGTTATCAACGAAATGCAATTCAAAATGTGTACATGCAAATGACCTACCCATCCAGTCCACATACATCAAGTTCATGATGAATATGCCATTAACTCATATGAGATTATGATGGGGAGAAACAAGCAGGAAAGTTGGAACCGGGTAGAGAAACAACTTTCTTGACCACAATGCTCAGAAAACTAAGCAATGAGGTGACCCAGTTGTTTAAGTCATGTGTTTATCACACCTATTCACACGTGTCTGTCCACATGGTAAAACACGCCGGACAAAGGTTGATTACATAATGTATTTGACACTTCATGCTGTGTTATTCAGGGTCATAATAATTCAAGCCACCCAGTTTATCTATATGTGATTAACTTCATTACAACTCATGTAAGAATAAAGCAGTTTACCTGCCCAAAGCAAGTACTGCATATACATCAAGTAAACAAAATAAGAACATAGTTTTTTTTCACCATTTATGACATCTGCAGTAGTCTATTGATCTTTATAATGCAAATTATGATAAGACAGTAACTTTGTTAATGTTATACATAATTCATGCAACAGATGGTTGTGAAAATATATTCTTACAAAAACAAGAGACCTTCTGCTGCTTCTGCTTAACGTATATTTTCAAGTTTCAAGTTTCAAGTTTATTTATTTCACCAGGGCATACCTCAGATCAGTTGATCTGATTTTCAGGTATCCCTGGGCACACATTAAAAATTACATACACAAGTTTAACGCAACAATATACAACAAATATTACAAACATTTACATATTATACAAAACAATCACAGTATACAATATAGGCACATTTCATCTGCGGTCATCTACAGTCCGTTTTTAAAAGCTGACGTTGCTATCAGTTGCCGCTGGTCAGCAGCAAGACAGTTCCACAGGACTGGCCCTTGGTACTGCAGGCTGCCCTTGAAAGATTCCACATGTGCTTTGGGAGTGTCCAGCATTTTTATGACATTGTGATGAATACGACGAGCATGTGTGTCGATACGTCCATTTACAACTGAACTACAGTTTTTGCCTCAAATTTCTGTGTGCTACTTTAAATGTCTTGAGCAACTGACTACAGGTTGTTGGTGTATTTCTGCCTCGTCATCATTACGAATATCATGGTAGCCAAGTTTTGACGTTACAGAGAGACACCGGGTCCTTATTTGCACAGTCGGCATGTAAACAGGACGTTGGTCCAAACAAGTGTGTCACAAGATCACAGTATCACATGTTGACAAGCATCAGCAAAATCTATATTAACAGCGAGCAGATTATTATTGGAATGAGCAGAGCACTTTGGACTAATGCCTCTGACCATTTACAGCTTAGAGGTACATATTCAATATTTTGTCAAAAACTTCTCTGTTACATAGCGGATCATAATGACCCCCAGTGGGGGTCTTCACGCTTCGTTAAAAATTGAAAAATCTCAATATTTTAGACGAAATCTTGAGATCTTATGAGACAATATTGAGATTTTTTATGACAATCTCCAGATCTTTCAGCAAATCTTAAGATGAAAAGAAAAGGTCTCAAGATCTTTCCAAATGTTTTCAAAGTATCTTGAGATTTTTCCATAACATCTTGAGATGCTTTAAGAAATATCAAGATTTTTAAAGCAATCTTGAAAAAACGTGAGATCTTTTAAACAATCTTGATATTTTTTAAAGCATCTCGAGATGCTTTGGAAAAATCTCAAGATACTTTGAAAACATTTGGAAAGATCTTGAGACCTTTTGTTTTCATCTCAAGATTTTCTGAAAGATCTGGAGATTGTCATGAACAATCTCAAGATTGTCTTATAAGATCTCAAGATTTCGTCTAAAATATTGAGATCTTTAGAATGAATCTTGAGATTTTTCAATTTTTAACGAAGCGTGAAGACCCCCACTGGGGGTCATTATGATCCGCTATGTAACAGAGAAGTTTGTGACAAAATATTGGATATGTACCTCTAAGCTGTAAATAGTCAGAGGCATAATTTAGTCCAAAGTGCTCTGCTCATTCCAATAATAATCTGCTCGGTGTTATATGCAGTCACTTCTAAGTCCGCAATCAACTGAGTCTCTCTGAGCAATACAAGCATCAGACGATAGATCAGGTAACCTGTCTTACCGCTCATAGTCTCCTCTTCGCGATGGATCACTGCGATTCTTCAAAAAGGGAGGCAAAAGTCTGCAGTAAACAGATTTTTCACTCCACTTCCATCGCTTCCTCTTCCCTTGGCACAGCCAAAATACGGTCAGGTCATGTTGGATTAGTCCACTACATATGTCGAAATTTAATTTTCTGTGTCTACATCTAAATATTTTCATGAAAATGTAGTTTTTCCGTGAAAATACGTTATTAAATGGATAATCTATTATAATATAATATCCATCACCTATGTGTAAGCTTGATTTCAATGAATGTATATTTTTTCAAAACACCCCCTTTTAAAGCAATGTAACATTCCAGAGGTCATTCATCCGGGAACTTCCTCTCTGCTCCCTCTTTCGCAAGGTAAGATTCCGATCACTACTTCATGCGATGTGGTCTCAAAATCCTCCGTCATCCGTGATATTTTAACACCATCTGTGCAAATCATTACAATCAAACGTTAAAGTAAGAACCATTTAAGCTGTCAGAGTATTTTTTGTCAGTTGGTTAAGTCGTTTTTGTCTGTTTTCTTGCAGCAAAATGGGGCGCCGACCAGCCCGTTGGTAAGTAGCACACATACGTGTTCAGATCAGTCCAAGTCGATCAATTTTGCTATAAATTCTGATTATAACTCATTAACGATTATACAGTATTCCCCCTCTCACATTACAAAATTTAATGGTGTTGGGAGTTGGGGAAAGAAGTTGCAAAAGAGGCCGAATATGCTATAGGTGAGGGGGGGGTATGGTTCATGTACTAGTAGCTGGCATGGCATAACTAAAACTAAAAGTGTGATTAAATTTAGATAAATGCCACTTCTACAGGAGGTCCTGTCCATAATCTATGGGACAACGCAATGTTTCCAAATTTTATGGAAACGAAATTGCGTTGCATGCTAGTCACATATTACAAGTTTATCACTTGATAAAGATTTATCACAAATTTTGGACCCCATGCAAGTCATGATGATGCAAGGTTGCATGTCCACACCATTGGTACTTGCTTATGCTATCATCATAAGAATATGAATCTGGAAGAAATTATGTCAAGGTTAGTAAATTTGAGTAAATAATTTAAGACTCACACATTTTACGGTCCTTTTTAGCTACCGTTACTGCAAGAACAAGCCGTACCCCAAGTCACGGTTTTGCCGTGGTGTGCCAGGTAAGATCTACAAAGATTTTGTTTTAGATTGAAAGTCATTCTGTAACAAATAGTGTAACAAGATGTAGATTTTCTGCACTGTAGTGTAGATACGAATAGTCAATTTGTGGGCAAATATTACCAAGATGAGTAACAGTAATTACATGTACAAGACAGTTCTATGATGATTATCAACAAACACCATCTTTCGGCTGACTCACAGTGATCGATCACTTTATGTAACTGAGAACTGTCAGAAACATACTTTTTAATTTTGAATACATAGAGTTGGAATTGTTGTATGACAGCCAAAAAATGCAATGAAACCTGTGAACAAGGTTTATGTTTAATGCTGCATCATTCTCTAACAATAATGACTGGATTGTAGTGCTGCATTTGATTTCTTTGTTTTTCTGCAGACCCAAAGATCCGTATCTTTGACCTGGGCAGGAAGAAGGCACGTGTTGACGAGTTCCCACTATGTGTGCATCTGGTGTCTGATGAGTATGAACAGGTAAGGTTCTTTTATTTCTGTAATGTTGATGTTTAATTTTCAAGAGGGATACTGTTTTCCCCTCAAAAGAAAACTTGAGTGTGTAAAGTCTCCTAATTGGTGTTTTCACAAATAAAATCATCAGTGTAGATTGTGGCTGAAGACTCAGCTATGACAAAGATGGGCTGTGTTTTCTATGGATTATTTGATATTGTAGGGCTTGAAATTAATTTTGGTAATCAGTACACGGTGATATTGTGGATAGATGACCTAATTCTGGGCTAAGATGGAGCCTAACCGATGGTTGCATCTTGTCTTTCTCTCCAGGTGTCCTCTGAAGCTCTTGAGGCGGGGCGTATCTGCTGTAATAAGTACCTTGTGAAGCATTGCGGCAAGGACGCCTTCCACATCCGCATCCGTGTGCACCCCTTCCACGTCATCCGCATCAACAAAATGTTGTCGTGTGCTGGGGCTGATAGGTCAGTGCTGCATAGCTACTGTCTTTTCAGTGTTCAAGGGCGCATTTTTTTGCTCAATTTGTGCTTACTTTGGGGTATGGTAGTACCATTTTGAATGGCTGAGCCGTGGGTTTGCATATCTGATTGTCCAGACAGTGTAGGATGACAGAATGACAGTATGTCAAAGGTCTCAGGATCTGGCTGTGAGCCAACAGGAACTAGAGGAATCCAGGATTGCATCCTTGAAAGTCTCCAATCTGATTTCTTGTTTTTGTGTTGAACAGATTGCAGACTGGGATGCGTGGTGCCTTTGGCAAGCCTCAAGGCACCGTGGCCCGTGTACACATCGGCCAGCCCCTGATCTCGTGCCGCGCTCGGGACGTCAACAAGGCCCACGTCATCGAGGCTCTGCGCCGCGCCAAGTTCAAGTTCCCTGGACGCCAGAAGGTGACTGATTTATTATGTGCTTTCAACCTGTACGGCTGCCTTTCTGTGTTCTTCTTTCTTTAATTTTTTATTATAGTTGTACCCTCATTAACAGCAATACACAGTGTAGTACTCGGCAGCAAATTCAGCTATGCTCCAAACATTACAAAACATATAATACAAATGTTAGTGTGAAACTGTGTTGGTGTAGACAAAAATCAGAGTCACAGCAGTAACCAGTGGGTCGAGACATTTCTGAACAATGCAGATTTTGATTATAACCTGTGCTGACTGTAGCCACTTTTTAAGTGTGGCTTATTCTACAAAACCTGAAAACGCTACCTTAGACTTAGATACAGTTCTAGGCGTATCATTTCTTTATTGTGTTCATCAAATAATATGTATAATTTTTTGTTTTGGGTACTCAGATCTACGTGTCCAAGAAGTGGGGCTTCACCAAGTTTGACCAGCCTGACTATCTGGAACTGAAGAACGCTGACCGTGTGGTGCCAGATGGTGTGGGTGTGAAGTACCTCCCCGAACATGGGCCCCTGGCTGCCTGGAAGAAGCACGTCTCTCGTTAGAGAACATGGAAACCATGTAAAATATCACAACAAAGGAGAAAATAAAGAAGGGTCAACCTGTGTTCATTGTGTTGTTCTCTTTATACATTAGTAGTTAATAGTTACACATTGTGTTGAGACTCCGACTAGAACTAGAAAGTATGAGCTTTTCCAGTGCAATTTCATTGATGTAGATGATTAAAAGTTACATGTAGCTCTAAATTTCCACCCATTTTCCCATCCAAAACACATCCTGATATGTGTGTATGGTCCTGGCTTTAACTGGTATAACTTAACGGGAAAAGTTATAAAACTGGGCATGGTTTTAGAGGGAAAAAAATTGAGTGTATGTAAAACCTTGGCAAGCTGCGTAACAAGTACATCGAGGTTGCATCCAAAAGGTGCACTGGAAGTGCAATGAAGAAATGGAGAAATGACAAACAATCCCAAAACAATAATTGGGGTGATCTAGACATATACGTAGCTGCTAACCTGCATCCTTACGTTGGTTAGAAATTTTATTGCAACTAAATATCAGCATTGATATTGAAGGGATTTTCAAAAGACTCCAGTCCTGGTGGTATTGTAATTATACATTACGATTGATCATGAACTGGCAGGAAAGTCACGAATTTATGGAAGATGTAGTATCTTCACTGTCGTTACGCACAAACAACTTAGTTACAAGTTTTGCTGTCATTAGGTGTAAGGGTAGCTTGATTTTCAGAATGGATGAAAATTCATGCGCATGCAGATATCATCCATATAATCAAAGAAATATGGCCTAAGTGTTAGGCACATTAAAGTTCAAAAGTGAAACAAAAATCTACAGCAAAGGAGCCAACAATGAAACGGCAAATTAAAAGGCAAATCATTCTTGCCACTGTACAGAATACCGATTTACAGTGTACTGTTGTGTATACCTGAAGATCACTTTGTAATCATGGAGGTTTCTTGATGTATTACAATCAAGGACATTATACAGATATGTCCCTTGGATATGTCCTCGATGTAATCTTGTAATACACTTGCGCCATTTGCAAATCTGATATTATCCGCAAGGTAGCGCCCTTGCACGGGTTTCACTTCCGCATTCTTCGGCAATGAGGGAGTAACCAAAACAGCACACACGTCAGACGTGACTTGCGGCTACTTCGAGCAGAATGACGCCATAAACGACCGCGAATGCAGTCCCAGTGCTTCCTGAGACTCACCTCTACAGTATATCACAAGTTGAGCGCAAGGAATCTTCGTGTTTTTGCGGTACAAGGTAAGATTTAACGCTAACCCGTTACGACTACACTTTTACCAAAATATATGGTAGTATACTGAAATACACATAAAGAGAGTGACAGTTACCTGTATATATTATGATTTGAAGAGTAAACATCACAAGGTATACAGTGTATTTGGGGATAAAATATTGTACATATGGTCCTGGAAACAGTAGAAATCACAAGAAAATACTGGGTGCACCCCGGCCAGTCGCCATGTTCTACATGTGTATGTAACGTTACATTTTGTCAGAAGTACCTTTACTAGCCCTTATTACAATGCAGCAGGTTCGTTATTTCCTGTTTCCAGGGCCATATGTACTATCCTATTGTATGCCGAATTATATCAAACCCTTGCATGCTCTGCTACCATTAAAAGGCCCATTAAAGTTTTACACTTTTCCTCCTCTATTGCCCATGGAGCCAGTGATAGTAGACCACAGCTAGTACAGGACAAAAGGGTTAAAGTAAATGTTAGCTAGTTAACAGTTGGCACTTACACAGCTATCGATCATTAACATTGACATTTTTCCTCCTTCAATGAGCCATGGAGCCAGTGACAGTGGACCACTACCGTAGTGCGATGGTGCTGAGTGGAGTGGGAGATGCTCTCGGCTATAAAAATGGGGACTGGGAGTTCTGCCACTCTGGACCAGCCATCCTGGAGGAACTACACAAGATGGGAGGGCTGGATAAGGTCAAGGTCAAGTGTAAGTAATTGTTACATCTAGAAAGTAGGGCTGCGGACCGGTACACTGTACCGGTCCAATACCGTAAAAATAGTTTCGGTACAGGTCCAAAATACCGGATCATGAAGTAACGAGTATATACCGAAATAGCTAGTTTACACCATGTATATGACTAAAGATAGGTAAATCCTACCACAAAGACGAAAAATTAGCACTGGAAAAGACGTAAACACCGTCGATTGATTTGAGGTCCTCAGTCTCACGAGACATCACGAGAGTGTGGCTGATCCAGGGTTGTGATTGGTCAACAAACTCAAATCAGGTCAGAGGTCAGTCATTTTCCCTTCCCTCCAACACTTTATTATTGTTTCTGTGTCATGATTGAAAAAGTGAAGAACACGTGTTAATTTGTCAAATTGTTCAGGTACAGGTACAGGTCCGGACCTGTACCTAAACCTCTGTACCAGTACCTGTACCTGTACCTGATGTTACGTTTAGGTACGCAGCCCTACTAGAAAGTAGTGGATGCTACGAAAAGTAGTGGATGCTACCTGAAACATTTGACCATTTCCAAAATCATATCCAGTGGCTTGAGTAACTGCTTTCTGGTGTACCTTTTTTTTTTATTGTATAAGGACTACTATAACAACATTTCTATCTACCCTTCTTAACCAGGTCCAGGTTGGATGGTGAGTGATGATACTGTTATGCATCTGGCCACAGCTGAGGGTAAGTAAGCAAACAAACAAACAAACAAACAAGAGTTCCACAACCTCATACCTTTGCCAAATGATGTACCTTTAAGGATGACAGACCTCTCTCAAAGATAGTACAAATAATCTTATAATTTGAATGACTGTAAATCAGTTGACTACTCTCATCTGCCGAATAAACATACGGGTACGTTTATTTTTTTGGGCCCGAACATCCACCCAGTACGTTCTTATTTTGCACAGTATGTTTATTAATTTTTTGAAAACCAGTAATTTTTTTCAACTTCGTGTGAAAAAAATTGACAAATCATCGACGTGAAGACGTTTATAAACGCGTATTGTAGCGAGAAACTTGACTTGTCATTTTCGGGCCGGTTTTTGCAATCACCGCGTGCATAAATTCGTCTGAATGTTCTATTGTCATGGGTGGTGCTTATCAAAATACGAAATATTAAATGCTCTTTTTTTTTGTCTATGTAAATTCCTAATTGCAAATAACAGTTAAAGATTTGTGCATATATCAGTAAGGGCGCATTTTAGTACAAGAGACACAGGGTTACCGTCGAATTTTGGTAATTTTCCGGGGGGTACGTTTATTCCGGGGGTATGTTTATTTGATTTTGAAGATTTGTCCGGGGGGTACGTTTATTCCGGGGGGTATGTTTATTCGGCAGATGAGGGTACTTCACTGTTTTGGAAATCTGAAGCTGTGTGTGGTTCAGAGACGTGGCTGCATTTGCTTCATTCCATCTCTTGTTCTGAGCCCAAAAAGTTATCTCTGCCCCAACACCATATCTTGTTCATTCTCCTGTCTTAATTACGTCTCAATGTCTGATGCTGTGATTTTTTAGGATTGC